TAACAACAGCAACAATAATAATAATAATAAAGATTGAACTAATGTTTACTTCCTTAAAGATAAGTATCCAGGAGTGATCATTACCTTGAGGAAGCCAGGAAGAGTCACTAGTCTAACCGCTACTGGCTACTGGCTACAGGATAAGCTGTTCTATATTTGTGCCTGCTTTACTATATGACACACTTCCTCATTTGGTCCTGGATTTAATCGATTTTACCTGAGCATAGTGCTTATAACCTTATTGGTTAACCATAGTTTTGTCCCACGTCATGCCCCCTAAGCAAGTGCCCATGTTCTCCAGTATAGACCCGCCTCACTGCATGGTTTTACTCTATAACAGTCTCTAGGAATGGCAGATTCCTGGGGCGACTCTCTCAGGGCCCCCTTCTGTCCCTCTCTTGGACATAAGCTTTCTTTCTCCCAATAAATATTGTGCTCTTAACCTCCATTTGTTCCTAAAATTCATTCTTCGGTTTTAGAGAACACAAGAGCATCCCAGGTACCTTTCAGGCTGGAAGTTTCATTCCCCTGTATCAAGTGGAACCTTCCAGATGGTGGTCAGGGCTGACCTGAGGGTCAGTCTTCACACAGTGGTGTGGGACAAGCAGTGTGCTCTGGGCTGCTGTGGCAAAGACTGAGACAAAAGGTGGCTGTTGTCCTAACATTCTGAGTGGGTACCTTTCAGAGTTTCTGGGACTTGGATATTAACCTTTTGAAGTTGGTCTCCTTCTAGCTGATTCAGCCTCATAAACGCCAAGTCTGACTCAGTGAGCTTTCACAGGCATCAGTGGCTCCAGTGTGTCATCATAGAGGTAAAGGATTTAAAAAGCTTGGTGGAGCTCTAAGCAGTTGCCCAGTCTTGCCTGTGATCATTGCTATTCCCACAGCTCTAGTGTCCCATGAGATGACAAGACATTGCCATACTACAGGAAGAATATCTTGAGACATCTTTTTCCAGAGAATCAAGATAAAGAAAGGCAGCCTAAGAAATCTTTCACATTTCTGAAGATTAAACTTGTTTATTAATCCACGTAATAATTTTTCAGCTTGGGGAAAAAGGCAAAATCAGCAAAAATGGACTTCAGAAGAATGAGCTCACACAAGGGTTGAGGCAAATCCCAAAGCAACTCCAGGAGGAAACATAGTGATAATTTAATGAACATTTTATCACATTGTAAGCAAAAGATAATTTAATGCATAAATTTCAAACTAGCATTCCATTTGAAAAGAGTTAACACTCCTATAATTTTCCAGAGTTTGGAATGATACTCAGTTTTAGACATGTCCTTGTCCAGACAAATTCCTACTTGCCTCAGTAGGATCTGCAAGCCTACAGGAGAGTATGTTCATTCTCAGTCCACCCCTTGTTCTGGGTGATAAAACAAACTAGAGAAAAAAAAAAGTAAGAGGGTTAGTTTTAGATACTGTCTTATGTATAAAATTAAAAACTACTGACTTTAAATTGAGAATTTCAATGAAAGTTCTGTTTACAGTGTTAACATGAATGCCAATTAGAGTTGCCAGATGATAGGAAGAGTTACAGTCCAGGAAGTTTGACAGAAAAATTACAGGTATGGTTTCTACAGTGATTTTTTTAAAACTCCAGGTCATTTTTCATGACTTTTCTCTCAGATCTGAAGACTAGGACTGCAAATCAGACATACAGAAAAAAGGCTTAATATATATTCAGAGTGTCAAGGCATTAATTTGCTGCACTGACAGTCTGCTAAGCTGCAGGGAAATAAACACTTTAGTAATAATAATGTCTTATTTTATTTTAACCATTTATTGATAATACCTTTATCTTTATATTAATATCTTTATCTTACATTGTCTTTTTAAATATAGAATGCAAGAACAAAAAGGTTTAGCAATCATTTTAATTTCAAAGACTAAGAAAGAAAAAAAAGTGCTGATTATCAAGAACAACTGTGAAAGATTATAAATGGGCTACAGAGATCACTGGGCACCCTTCTGGTAGAAGCCTTGTGCTCTAGCATGGCAGACAACCTTCAGAACTGCCTGTGGGGGCTGTGCCTGTCCCTGCATTGGCTGAGCAGTTTCATGACTAGAGGTCCCAGAAGCTGGTAGTGACAGCATGACCCTGCTCATGGAGATCCAAGTAAGCCTTGCAGAGGGAAAGATGATTGATTCTGCTCGTGGAAGAGAGTCCATATCTACAAACCCAGTTCAGAATTCCTGCCTGCCTATATGTCCCTCTCCCTCTTTCTTCTTTTTGTTTTTCAAAACAAGGTCTTAGAAGAAAGAGGTGTACCAACAGTGTTTGGACAGAATATCCTGTCTGCTTCTTGTACTATGAATAACCACTAAGAAGATAACAATGTACAATGTATTGTTTATCAAAACTATCCTATTAAAAAGCTGTGAAAAAATAATAAAATAAAATAAAGCCATCCAAGGATAAAAAAAAAAAAAAAAAAAAAACCAAGGTCTTGCTTTGTAGCCCAGGCTGGCCTTCAACTTGCATCAATCCTCCTACCTCAGCCTCCCATGTGCTAGGATTACAGGTGTGCACCAACACACCAAGCTGTTAAAGATGATTTAGGGGCTGGGGAGATAGCTCAGTGAAATCAGTGCTTCCCTGGCAAGCACAAGGGCCTGAGTTCAATCCCCGGTTCCACAAAAAAAAAAAAAAAAAAAAAAAAAAAAAAAAAAAAAAAAAAAAAAGATGATTTAAATGTCTTTTTAAGGAATGGGAATATAGTTCAAGAGTATAGCTCTTGCCTAACAAGGAGAAGTCCCTGGATTCAATCTCCAGAATATATCTAATTTTAAAATATTTTTGAAAAGACACAATGTTCCTTTACTTGGCAAATCATTCTTATATTTGAGTGAAGTTTAGAATACTTGATTAGAAAATGAAGTATTTTGTGGGTCCATGCAGATATGGAAAAGACTTAATGTATAACTGAGCTTTTCCTCCTGCGGGCTACTAAGAAGAAGCCTCAAACCTAGACCCTATAAATATTATTGGTGCCACTGGCCATGTCTGCAACTGACTCAGAGAAGCTTCAGTGTATAAGAAAAGGAACCACTGGAAAATGATAAAATTCTCTTATGAGGATAAAGTAGACACAGCACTCTCGACTGCTTTATAGTCTCTGTAGGGTCAAAATTATTTTAAAATAATATCAAGGCTGGGGATATAGTTTAGCAGCACAAGCACCTGCATTGCAAGTGCAAGATCTTGAGTTCGATTCTCAGTACCCCCACAAAAAAAAAAAAAAAATCAAAAAATGACTAGAGATGTAGCTCGCTGGTAGAGTGCTAAAATAATATCAAAACACTTTACATTTTTATTCCCATCCTCTTATATCACACACTTGTTTTTTAAGGCTGCATGGCAAGATATGGTATCTTTGCTCTTCTCACTGAAGGCGCTTGCTTATGAATATATACTTTTTTGAGACAGGGTCTCTCTCCTTTTTTTGTGGGGGGGGGGGAAACCAGGAATCAAACTCAGGATCTTCGCTTTCCAGGCATGCTCTGCACCACTGAACTATAGCCCCAGCCTGAGATAGGGTCTACTATAGGGTCTACGCAGTTGACGCTGACCGTGAACTCACTTCATAGCCTAGGCTTGTCTCAAACTTGATACATTCTTCCTGCCTTAGCCTCCTGGTGCTGGGATTACACGTTTGTGCTTCATGAGTATATGTTTTAAATTTTCTCAATATCAAGTTTTAGTACAGTAAGAATCAGGAAATAAAACTCACATAAACTTTTAGTAGTATAAAGCAACATACTGAGAACCATGAAAAGAAAGAAATAATATCAACTCTAGTCTTCTCACTGGTGACAAGTAGCAACATTTCTTTTTTATTTATTTATTTCTTTATTTTTGAGATAGGGTCTCATTATTCAGTTTGTGTCCACTCTGTAGCTCTCAGACTGTTGGCACGGCATGCAGGACCCAGTATAGAACTCAGGTCCTTGTGCTTGCCAGGTAGGTGTTTATGCCTCTGAGCTATCTCCCTAGCCCCAAGTAGCAACATTTCTTGACCTCACTTTCCTCCTTTGCAGTACAAAATATGCATTTATCTCACTCCCTGCTCAACTTTTCACACATTCCATGGTATGATTGTATGACACACACTTCCAACACTGAAATATTGCCAGTGCTTCAGGAGTAAGCTCTGGCCCTTCAGAATTTTTTTTTTTCCTTTTTTTTGTACTGGGAATAGAACTCA